AACGGTTCCAGGTCAAAATTACTGGACTGGACTCTCGCTTCGTAATTTATTCCTTTCCCCCAAATTCGCCCCTCCAGCCAATCCTCGAGGGAGGGTTCTCGAAATTTAGATTTAAAGCGGTTCCGATGAAAAATCCAAGGATTCGAACGAGGCCTCGTTATTTAGCCTATAAAATGTTTGGAGGGAAACGTGCCTCGCGATTTTCACGTTCCCTTTTCTGGATACCCAAATATCGGTTCAGATCTATCGAAGGAGAAGAGACAACGAGAAGAAGAAGAAGAAGCAGAATAAAGAGAGGGTGGGAAAAAAAAGAATGGTTTAGCAAAATGGCCGAGGGTTGGAATGGAAGGAGAGGAAGGGAGTCGTTTCCATCGCGGTTGCCGGCATTAACGATCGTACGTATTGCTCGTTACCGCAGCAGCCCCCGCTTTATCGTTGGCGAGATTTATGTCAAGTGTATCGAAGGACTCGGCCATTTTTATTCGATCGAGATAATGTCGACGTCGCAGCTTCTTTGTTCCCCCGCACAGACGATTCTGTCGCGGACCGCGAGTTATCGAGAGTTATCGAACAACTCCCCCCCCCCCCCTCTCCCCCCGATCTTTTCCTCCTCCTTCTCCCACGTAGGGGATTTCCGAGCCAAGGAGGAGCTCGATGCGCGGCCGATGTCACGCTTCGTCGTACCCGGAACACCGCCTTCCCCACACGATAATTGCTTCGTCGAAACATCTTCCTTTTTTTCTCGACCTCCTCTCCCTTTCTCTTCGCCGATTAATTAAAATCCATCCGGAATTTTCTCACGAGACACGTGGTGTACACGGAGAAACTTTCCAGGCGAATCGAGTCAGGAAAAAGAGGGAACTCGAGGTTAATAATAATCGGTTCAACAACAACGAGTCTCCTGATAATCGCTTCCTGTCCCCGTTTCATCGAATGATCCAGAATCAAAGACGCGTATAAACGCGTTAATATTAGAATTTGACGAAGCATTTACTAAATTATTCGAGAAGAAAACGTATGTAAAAAGAGTAGAGAGATCGATTCCTTTTTTTTTTTTCCCCTCCGATTCGATCACAGAAGGAACGAAGGGAATCTCAGTTGGAGAAGAAACGAGTGGGCTTTTATCGGTGAAATGATATACTACTGCTGCCTGATGGACCTCCAACTACTCGTAATTTCGAGGGAATTAGTTCCACGCTTTAATAACTCGGAACCGCGGCCAGAACAGTACGTCTTACTCGAAGAGCGAAGAGACGACAGGAGAAGGAAGAGAAGTAAGAAGAAGAAGAAGAGGAGGAGGAGGAGGTCGACGTTGGAACATCGTCTAAATCTAGCGGTCGTCGGACGAGTTTTTTCAACGGTGCCCACTTGGAACCGTACCAACGGAATACATCCGAAGCTACATGCGGCGAATCGAAAAAAAGGAGGAGCACCGCCGAAAAATTTTATTACCCTCCAACATCCCCCGACCGAGGGATGTTTTTTCCCCAATGATATTGAAACACGGTCGCGAACAAGCCGCGGACGGCACGCTCCAGAATTTGGCCTGTCTTCAAGTCGAGAGTTGGCTTGCTCGCTTTCTTTTTTCTTCTTTTCCCTGGGCAGAGAAGAAGACTCGTCTCGAAAATTTAAGCCTCACGATCGATACGCGTTCGAATTGATAAACTCGCAGATGATCGATTCTACGATTCTATTTCGAAAGGAACAAAAGAGCGAAACACGGCATGTTTTTTACAGCGGGTTCGAGGGGGGAGGGAGAGAGAAAAATTCGGCTATCGATTCTCCCGCATCGGGAGAAAAGTTTCGCGGACTGGTTTAGAGGGCCGTGATTACTTTTCTTACTATTCGTAGGGAGTGGCGCCTTTGTTCCGGAGGTGTTTGGTAAAGTTTGCCAAACACAAAGATGAATCGGCAAGTTTTCTCGGCCGGCTTCTGTTCGTCGTTCCCTCCACCCCCGTGAAATTCGCGGCAGCGTGAATTCGGTCGGCCAACGTCGAAATTAAACCATCGTCCTGGAAAACGGAAAAATAGGTACGCTGGATATTCCCGATAGGCGGTGCAAAGAATTTCAGGGTGCCGCCCAACCAACTAAAAAAAGCAGAACCTCGAAGGTAGCTCGCTGTATGTAGGTCGCTAAGTAGTCGGCGAACAATCTCCTCGAAACTTTTCAATCACCACAGGGCGGCGATCGTTTTCGAAATTGCTTCTAAGAAGAGACCAAACCCTCCCTCCTCATCCTCCACGACAAACAACTTTCACCGACACCTCGAGTCCCGGTTGAACGATCGAGAGAGCGGGAAAAAAAGATAGGTAACGAACCAACTAAGGCTCCTCTCTCGAGAAAGCGGGGAGAAGTTTACGAAAAGAAGACACTACACAGGTCAGATTTGACGAGAGGAAGGATGAAAGGGGCGGACGACGACGATCCGGGATAATCTTCTTGATCCGTTTATGCCGGTGGATTTCGATCCAGCGTGGAAAGGTCTCGCGAGATATCGTGTCCCCGTTTACGATTCGGCGGCACAACAATGGCCGGATTAAGATTCGCAAACGAACCCATCAATCCCTCATTCACCAACATGAACTTGCACGCCTCGTGCACGGGACACGCTGGCGGATTTCGCGCCCATCGCGGCTTCTCCCTGATAAGAATAATTCCGACGAAACGGAATCATCCCGTATTCGAGAAATCGGTGGGATTCGATGCGGCTGAACGAGGGTTCGATTCGACAAGAGTATCGATAGAGGGTCTACTAATTTCTCGATTCTAGCCTAGTTATTCGCATACTAATTCGAATCGATAAACTATTTTGCGAAATCTTCTCGTAAACTTGCGTTCAGACCTGCGTCCAATCTCGGATGAGCAGCGCAAGGGACGTTGATTACGGGAGGACGTTGAAATTGCGACAGTTTACGCGAGGGAAGACGCGAAGAGGGACGTGTATTTATACGTCGATGGAAGCGAAAGCATTACACGACGATGGGTCTATCACACGCGTAATGGCGCACGCACGTAAGAAACGGTCTCACGCGAATGATGGACGCAATCGAGGAAGCCGATGAATAATTCATCCACGTTAGATTCCTGATAAATTTCCGACCGAAGGAATTACTCACTCACTCACTCACTCGCTTACTTACTTACTTACTTACTTACTTGCTTGCTTACTTTCGCCGTTGAATCGAACCGTAAAAGGCGAGCCGGGGATCGTCTTCTTCTCGATCGGAGCGAAGATAGAATCATCGATAGAATTGGCCGCAACGAAGAACGGTCGACGAAATAAGAACGCGTGAAAGTTGGTGGATAAAATTGCAGAAAGCGTACGACATTAAAAAAAAAGAAAAGAAAAGAAAAGAGAAAAAAGTGGGACGCGTTAATCGCGCGGCTCAAAATGGATGGAATTTTCCACTACGATGAATCATCGTTAGAGGCAGCAGATTTTGCGCCGACACGATAGAGCAACTCATCTAGCGGATAGGCGTCAATCACCGTGCCAATCGTAACATCCATCGGTGTCAATCGGTCGAAACGATACTTTCTATCCTATCCGATCGATCAGAATTTCCATGGGGTTCGCCTCTACCAAGAACCGTTTCCAACGCTATGATATTAATCGCCGATTACTACGTTTCGAGAATCGACAGATCGCTTAACTCTATTGCAAGATCCTCTCCAAGAACGGATTGGGAGAGAGGGAGGGAAAAAAAAAAAAAGAAAGAAAGAAAAAAAAACGTACAATAAGGTCGTATTGGAAAAATTGGCTCGATACAACGAATTCGCCGAGTATAGAGAAGAACGCTTAGTCAGCGATAAGGTATCTTAATCTCGCGCGATTATTTACCACGGCGGACGTCATAAATTGCGGCGGATAAAATATGAGGCAAGCATTACTTCTCCCCCACCACTTGTGACCGACGAGTCGGTGAATTAGCTTTATCGGTCGCCTCTTATCGCAAATTAAACGTCGCGAAATTCGCGGTTACACGTTAGATTCGCGATTCGCTTTTATCGGCCTACGCGAGTTACACGCTTCGACAATGTATTTTTCGTTCGTTTATCGAAGGTGACGAATTAGGTTTCCACCTGAGGGAAAAGTTAGACTTTTTCTTTTCTTTCTTTCTTTCTTTCTTTTACTTGACAAGAATGGCGAGGAAATATTTCTCGCGAAAGAAACATCACGGAAGAAGTAAGAAGGAAATTTTCATGGCGTCAAATGTTCGACGAGCAGGGAATTAATTGCTCGTCACGGCCCGTTCCCTTTTGCCGCGCAGGGCTTGGGATAAAGTGTCGAGGAGGAGGGCCTCTCCTTCACGCCCGCGAGATCCTCTCGTCCCATCTCGAGGCTTCGCGCGCTTGACAAAGTGCATATGAAATATAACGAGAATGCAGGATGCGCCGCAATTTCGCACGAACACGTTATTACTCGAAGGGCGAGGGGGGAGAGAGAGAGAGAGAGAGAAGAGACGGAAGGGAGGGGTGTCCAAGTACCAGGGTGAATTTACCGTTCCTCCGTCACGTATATTCCCTAATCGAAGCATCGCCAATCTCGTTAAAACGAGGCGGTCTGCTGCTGGAAAATATTTTTCGTTCGACGTAGATATTATATAATAGATGCCGTCAAACATCGCAACACTGATACCGGATGATACCTTTAAAAGTGAATCGAGCATCGTTGATCGTCGGAAAAATCGTATTGCAATTGGAATTCCAATTTAGTGGATTAGAAAATGATATCTCTTTGGAGTTATTTCTTTCAACGAATGTCTAAAATGTACGATTTCAATTTCGATTTTACAATCGTTTTCGCGAGTTCGAAAAATAGGAATTTAAAAAAAAAAAAAAAAAACCCTACCGATCTCTAACATTCTCTTACCTGTTGTTCCGAGTGAAATTCGATTACAAGCATGGTACAGAATTCGATATCATCGCGGTAATCGAATTTCAAGAAAAAAGGGATAAACGCGATGATAAAAAAAAAAAAAAAACGATTGAAAGAAACGATTGGAACGTTCGTTTCTAATTTCAAGGAGTGTGCAAAGTTTCGTAATTAGCCCGATTTCCCGCCCCAATGTTTAATATCAAGCGCGATGAATGCAACGAATTCATTTATCACTCGATCGAGTTTCTGGTAGGGATTTAACTCGGCCATCCCCTGCCATTCCCTTTCTACGTACCGCAACGCAAAACAATCGCTGGCTCGTGCACATACCCTCTTCCCTTTTACGATCAGATACTCACCTGCAACAGAAAAGAAACGTTGATGTCGATTATTATTAAAACGTGCCTCGAGATTTAGCGTAGCGGAACGCGCGCACGCGTGCAACGTGTTTTATTGCGATTCCGAGTGCACGTATGCCGCGCAAAGCGGTCGTAAATTCCGTTTCAGAAAGCTTGCCTCCGCTCGTTTATCGCGTTCGAATAATGGCAGAAAGGTGGAAAAAAAAAAAAAAAGGAAAAAAGAAACAGAGAAAGGAACGGAGGGGGAAGAATAGAAAATTTTATCCGTAATTATTCCACGGGAATAATGGAGGAAGGAACGACGTATCTATCGTATGTAAATGGAGGCGCGACGATAAACCAGAAACAGTTTTCGCATTCTGATTACGTCACATCGCTCGATGATAATTGTTAATTATCAGGTAAATCAACGCGCGCCACGATTAATAATCCCATCGCTTCCGATTCACGCAATCCCATCGAGTTACCTACACGTCGATCCGATTCATCCCCGCGACATTATATCTCTCCCCCACTCCGTTTTAATCCGTTTTACTCTCCCCCCTTCCACCGTCCAACTTTTCATTTCCTACGATCGTTCCGGTTGGTACGGTGACCCCGAACCAGAACGAAACAATCTTTCCATGTTTCTGTAAAACGTGATTCGAGACAGGTGGCAGCAAGTCTCGGTAATAATTTCGATCAACCTTTGAAAGAGAGAAATGTCACGCGTTCGATCGGTGTACGCATCATACGACGGTGTATACGTGTATCGTTCGCGATGATATTTTCACGCCTCCCCCGATTTTCCGAAAGACCGGTAATCGAAATCGGTGACAGAGGCGACCTTTTCCCACGCGCGGAAACTCGATAAAACTTTTTCAAAAGGAAGAAAAATAGAGATTTCCAATAGCCAGGTGTAATCGAATCTCGATTCGATAAAGGAATAACCGCGAATCCGGATAGGCGAAAAAGCGAAGCAATCAAAAGCTTCGTGGCGGAGAGAAGTTTAGGAAAGAAGGGTAGATGGAAAAGGGTCTCTTCTCGCTTCGAAACCGAGATACTCCGTTTCCAACGAATCGAAACTAGCGCTCGATAATTAAAGAACGAGAGAGAGAGAGAGAAGAAAAAGAGGAGAATGAATCGTCAGTCGTTTATCAAGCGCGGAAACGTAGTTTTTAGCGCGTGACATCAGCAGATCTATTAGTCACAACGCGGTGGCCGCGCGCGGCAATTACGTGGAATCTGGAAAGGAAGCGGCGTAAGGGCCGAAGTTAACCGCGCTGGAAACCTTTCGTCGCAGTTCAACTTGGAGAGAAGTCCGGTTCGCGACCTCGTCACGCGCGCGAATTAACGCGTCTTTTCGTCGGAAAGGAAGAAACAAATTACGAAATTTCTCGTCGCTGTCGTCACCGCGATGAAAAAGATCTATTAATTATTATAGACCATTCTCGTAGTAAATTCGATCTCGTCGGCGAAAGCATGATCAAAGAAATATCCGATCGTGGGCGTGTCTCGGATCTAATCCGGATTCGATGGCGCGTACATTCGTCTGGTTGAAGCCTCGAAGAACGGAGAATCCGACAAGGAGAGAATCCTTACTCGAATATTTGAATATTCGAGTCGCTCCTCTAACGAAAAGGAAGGAACGAGTCGGACCGATGGATCGACGCAAACCACACCTCGCGTCTGTGTTTCTCAACGTCTGTTAGAAAGTTGGATAGGCATGATCGATTCATAAGGACGACGTCGTGCTAAGGTCGTGAATGGAATAACGAATTCGACGATGACCAATCTCGAAGCCTCGACGATGACGCCACGCGTTTGCAACTCGAAGATGTTTCGAGAAGATCGCGCTTCGGGAAATTAGGCGAAACAAATAACTCGTAAATAAAAGTTCGTCGAGCACTTCCTTTCCATTTTTTCACCGTCGAACGATCGAAACGCCGAGGAATTTTCTCTACTTTCTCTCGAGCTCTCCCGTTGTTCCTCTTTTTTTCTCCCTCGCTCTCTCTCTCTCTCTCTCCTCCAACTAATGCGTACACAAACGTAAGGGAAACTCTCAGTCCGAAACATATTAGTTGCAACTAATATAGATAGATTCGTAAACTCGCCAATGTTCTAGATCAAATCGGAGCAAATAGAGAAGATCCTCGAGGATCCCAGAATATCCACGATTCCTATCTTGGATGCCACTAATCTCGAACGAATCGTTCCACAATCCCGCCCCAGAAGCGTTCGATAATCGTGCAACAACGTTGCAGAAAGAGAGAGAGAGAGAGAGAGAGAGAGACCGTGGCAACGATGGGCGCGCCACTTCCTCCGTTTATATTTAAATGATCATCGACTACCGGATGTACCTTCGCGAAAGTGCACCTTCCTGTACGGTCGATGCCTGCCATTCTCCTGAACAGGAAGATCGTGAGGTCCCAAGTTCTCTCTCGACAGCGAGCTCACTAGGATCCCCCTGAGAGTCGCGAGGGTGCTGCTCGGAATATCTCTGTTCATGTTGCCGCCTCCCATATCATCCGAGTTTCCTCCTCATCGCCATAATCCTCTTTGCGTTTAATCACCACCGTCGAAAAACCACCCCCTCCACTCTTCGCATTCCACTCTTTTTTCCCCTCCCCTGCCCCCTCTCGATCACCACGGTTCCACGGATGCGGAGATGGCGAAGCGCGCTTCGTCGAAGCGAAGCGACTCGATCCCCGCGAGGAAAATATCACGCACTCCTCCTCCTCCTCCTCCTCCTCCTTCCAATCCTCTCGAAACACGAGATGCGAGGAACGGGATCAACGGAAGAAGAGAAACGTGGCGAAACGCGATCGTCGCGTAACAGAGTTCGTAACTGGCTTCTTGTTCGCAGTTTGCCACATCGTAGATAGGCAGAGCGGTTGCGTCACCATGTAAATTTAATCGGGTGTTTAAGCGGGGTGATGGCTCGCGCCAAAGGTCGCGTGCGCTCACGAGGTGCAGCGAGCAAAGCGCGCGCTATCGATCCGCCTGCTGTCCACCGCTCGCTGCTCCGTTTCGCCCCCCTCGGGGACGAACCATCCTCCTCGACCGCTTCCTCGAAAGTAGCTGCAACCGCTCCTCTCTCCTCGCCTCGGATTCACAAATTCCGCGCCTTCCGCTTCCCGGGAAAACATGGGCGAGCACGCGACGAGCCCCCCCTTCACCACACGCACACGCTCGAGAGCAGCCACGTGAATAGCGAGCAGCGAGTTTTTCGTCACGAAACGCGTCGAAGATGGTGCGGTGTGCACTTGGACTGGATTCGATAAAGGGAACGAGGAGGGATTTTATCGAACGCGGTCGATTCTCGATCGGGCCGCGTGGAGCATGCTCGACGACCGTGTGACTGACTTGTGAAGCCACAGGTCCCTCGCAACTCTTTCTTGCTCCTTCTTCGAGCCTCTCCCACTCTCGACGGTGTCGGTCTGATTCGACGACGGACAGTTGTTGGCTCGGCAGCGTGCACCTTCGACACAGACAGCGTTCCGAGGGAGTGGGATATGCACGATCGTTCCCGTATCTCCTATGCAACGTACGAACAATCCAGGTTGTGTAATCACCCGGTTTCTTTAAATAGATTACGATTGTTTACTACTTATTTTCTAGACGCCATTGTAGAAACACACAGAGGAGGTAAAATATATATATACTCTTTTTTTCTGCGCCGTTTCTTCTTTAATTTCCTAATCGTGGCGATTGGTGAGATCCATCCACTTTTAATGGGAAATGGAAGGAAACGTTCGTTTCCATCGATTATCGATTTTATTTCGAGTTGCGTATTTTACGCTCGACAGTTTCGCGATTCTTCCAACCGATCGATGAGACGAGGGATGAAGGTAGGATGATAACGACGCGTTTCTCGACCGATCGAGAAACTCGTGACAAGAATTAGACACAGTTTCTGCTACTGTGGATTATTGGACAAAGAGTTGATCGGGCACGTTCTCGGCGTAAATAACATTGAAATTCATCGCGGACGTGGCGGTTCTCGGTTGTTTAAAGATACGAGACGAAACACACACGGCCGTGGTCGTCGATGAATATTCCATCGATCGACGGAGCTCATTATTCACGGGCAACCTCGCGAGTCGATAAAAAAGAAAAAAAAAAAAAAAGGAAGATGACGCGGACGAGAAGCCTTGCCACCGATATTCAAATTACTCTGACACTTCTCGCCATTCTCGTCTTTAACGTTTCTCGATTACACGGTGTTTGTCGTTTCCCCGAGATACCGATAACGAGACGTCGCCTCGCCTTCAAAGACGTTTCCTCGAATCGAGAGATACAAAGGGACGAAAGTCGGCTAATTCGACGAGCGTTTTTCCTTTTTTCCCCGCGGTATAGAGAGAGAGGGCGCCTTAAAAGGCGACGACGCAGCCTATTCATTCGCGTATCAACCGGCGAAACGATTCTCGAAATACCGGCGGGACCGCGAAGGCAAATAACCGTGCTCTTGATGGATCCTTTGATCCTTTGCTGCTATCTCCTCGCTTGGTTAAACATCGATCTCGTAAAAAAAACCTCAGCGGAGGGAAAAGCGCGTAACGCTCGATTTGTGGAAAGATACTTGTTGGATACTTGTAGCAAGGCTGATGGTTAATTGTTAAGATAATTCGCAGCGAGAAATCGACGCCATGACGCTCGTTAATTTGGTTTGGTAATCGCTACGCTTGCAGAGAAGCGACGTACGAACTTCCCACCAGCCATGGATCGACGATACGTGCACAGGATCGAAATATCGCGTATTATTTTTTTCTTAGCTCAGACGAGAGATTTCGAGAATAAGAGATCATTGAAGAGATGAAACTGGAAGTATGATCCAGAGTATAGAAAATCAAAGCATAGTTATCGAGAAGCATATCGTTGCCCGTTCATTCACGTAACCCACTCGTCGACCCACTTCTTCCACGTCGTATTAAATCTCATCTCACTCTCCTTCCCTACTTTCTACCCGATCCGCAACGAACAACACGATAAACTAATCACCGACATTTTCACCGCGCGAT